AGCTCATGCCAGGCATGCAGCATGGCCATGGTCACAACAGCGCACTGCAGGCCTAGCTGCTCCCAGCAGCACCCTCAGCCTTGGTCGGGCCCACAGGGATGCATTACATGTTCTGTGCTGATCCCCCCAGCACTGAGCTCGGCTGGGGCCACTCACTCAGCATAAGCACAGGCAACAGAAGCAGATTGGAACTCCGTACCAAATCCTTGCTAAATTGATACTGCTGCACTGCGTTAGCTCTTGGCATTCTCTGAGTAAGATAGGAGAGCATCCTGAAGGCTGCTTCTGCCCGTGTTTGAGTGGCACTGTGTTGCTCTGAGAGCTCCTCACAGCAGTAGGTAGGCGTGAGCCATTAGGGGTCAGTGCCAGAGGGCTGGACTCGGTGTTCCAAGAGGGCCCTTTTTGGACACAGGTCTGCGTGTGACACACTACAGTGCTTCCTCCGGTCTGCTTTCCCTTGTTTTATCTTCTGTATGTGTGTGCAGGTCTGATTTGTTGCTGGGAATGCCCTGCTCTGTCCACTGTTACACGTCTCACAACGCAGTGCTGCTTTCCCCGGGTTTTCCTCTCTAGTGACGCTCCTCCACCAGCTGCCGGGCACTGCAAACAATACCGCCCGTCGCTCACGGAGGTTCCAGCGAGCTGTGGTTCTGGGGAGCGGGTTTTGGCGGAGGGCCCTCGGAGCAGCGCAGATCCGTGCCGCGAGCGCTGCCCTCCGCGATCAGCAGCACCGAGCCGGCGAGCTCCGAGCGGCTCCGCGAGTGCCGAGGCGTCCCCGCAGCGCTGTTATTTTCCGCTTTAAGCGCCGCTTCCCCGCGGTTCGAGGAAAAGCGGAAGCGAAGCGGGGCCGCGGCTCTCCCTGCACCTGCCGGCCGGGCCGCGCGGGGCGGCGCTGCGGGACCGCCTCGCCCCGTGCTGCGCGCCGCCCCTCGGCGCCGGGAGGGAGCGCGGCGTAAACAAGGCGGGGGCCGGGGCTGGCGCGCTGTCAGCGGGTCACATGGAGCCTCATATGGGCCGGGGGATGGCGGCGCGGCGCGGCTCTCCGCTGGCAGGCGGCGGCGGCTGCTGAGGCGGCGGCGGCTCGCGCCGAGGGCCCGTCCCGTCCCGCCTCCGCTCCCCGCCTCCCCGCGCTCCCCGCCGCTTCGCCCCCGACAAATGATGTGTTTTGTGCTCGCCGCGATGAAAGGTAGGCGCAGTCCGCGGGGCTGCCGTGCCGGGCGTCGGGGCGGAGGGGCCGGCGCTCGCTCGAAGCGCGGCGCTTCCCCTCGGGGCGGCCTGCGAGCGGCACGCGGCCGGCGGCCCCGGGAGCGGAGCGCGGCGCCGAGCCGCGGGTGGCGGCGGGGCGGGCGGAGCCTCCGAGGGCTGCGGGCGTGCGGCCGGAGCTGCGGGAAGGGAGCCGTCCCGACTGCCCGCCGAGCCGTGCGGGGAAGCCCTGCCTCTGGAGCGGGGCAGCGCCGTGCAGCATCCTGCGGGCAGCTGGCGGGGCGGCTGCTCGCGTTCAGAAGGGTTTGGAACGAGAGGAAAATCGGAGCTGCCGGGCCGTTACTTTAAAGCTCACCTTTTTTGTGTGTGTGCTTTCCCATCGTAGCCCTTAATGGGGACGGTGCCGGACTGAGGAGAGGCAGAGGAAGTTTTGAACGGGAAATCAGAAGTGTAGGGACACGTTCTCATGCTCCTAATAAAGTAGGCTGTGCGGTGTAACTTTGCATTGCACAGTTTTTAAAGTAAGGATTCTGTTTAAAAAATAATAGTCATCTTAAAGCAGGAATTTCTTATCTAACCGCGGTGTTCTTTGGTAGTAACCGAGAAGAGTCTCGTGCTGTCACTTGAATTTCGTGCCCTGACTGAGGTACAATATACAATTATTTTCATGGATTGTGCCGGTAAAGCTTCTCCAAAGTTTCTCCTTTTAATGAAATAATTGCTTGAAAAAGCAGGTTAATTCTGGTGTCGGTGCCAGGCTGCTGCCTTTTGTCCCACGTAGCAGGCAGCGCTGCCGGCAGCAGTGCGGCACTGGGAGCACAGGGGCCGTCCGTCGGTGGGCTCCTGCTGTGCTCCGAGAGCCTGTGCGGGTAAAAGGCGAGCACTGTGTGCATTAATCGTTATTGTGCTGCATGTGTTTGGCAAGAAGATGGAATTGGGTTGCTTCGAACACCAGCATGCAAAACAAAAGAAAATGTATTTTTAAGTGTGAACTACGTGGCCGTGTTAGCAGCCCTGTAGGATTTTACATACACAGACAGTGCGGTTTGTCGATACAACCCCTGCCAGCAGGCTTGAACTATGTAACCCAATAAACAAAGGAGAGAAAAAAACGTCACTGATTGATTGATTTATTTAAAACATATAACCATTTCACATGCGTTTGGACAGAGGGTGAGGAGCAAGGAGCTGCTCCGCAGCAAGTCGCCTTTGAAGTAATTGTTTCAGTTCTTCGGGGAGTTCTGTGTAAACCAATTTCCATACTGATGTAAAGTCTTGTCAGAGCCCAGCTGTTGGATTTTAAGGTACAATTCACAATGGCTTGATTATGGAGTTACTTAGGGCTCTGTCCTTTTCCAGAATACTCATGTGGTACGTTTCATTTGTATTTTGTGCTACTTAATTTCATAATACGCTGCAAAGCTTCATTGATTCTTCTTGTTTTTTAACCTCCTGGACAGAGTTCTGCTGCAGGAGATGTGTTGTCACATGTCTGACAGTGACCTCCGACTGCCACAGAAAAATGGACCCCCAGTGTTGCTGTTTGGGAGATGAGATGTTTGGGAATGCAGTTCAGGTGTGTGAGGGGGAGATGCCAGATATGCCGCTGAATGGAGCATTTTACTTCTTCCTGATACTGTAATGCTGTCTTTTGGGTTTTCTGGTTGTTTTGTAGTTCAAACACAGAAAATTATGGTCCGAAGGAAAATAATAGGATTCTTTTTTTTTTTTTTTTTAATAAGTGAAAAAGATTATTAATTCCTTCCTGGTTGCTGTTGAGGTACCCCAAATTGATACTGTTGGAAACGAATTGTGAGTCATTTTATTCTTTTTAATGCAACATGACGTTTTGTGGAACGGGTTTGCTGTCACGCTGAAGCCCAGGCTGCCAGGCCTTACGTGGGTCAGAGCAAGCACACATTGTGGTCAGCTGTCAGCACACCAACACGTTCCCAAGGGCTGGGAGGGTCATAGAGTCACAGAATGATTTGGGTCAGAAGGAACCTGAGAGATGGGCTGGAGGTGTCGGTGGATTGGGCTACGTGGTAGGAAATGGAACTTTCTGGTTTCAGGCAGAGGAGAAAGGTGTTTTTTTCTCTCTGTTTCTAAGAAAGTAGGCAGTGGTGAAGCATCCAAAGTTATAAAGATTGAGTAAATGTTTTGCAGACTGATGGACCTTTAAAAATGGTTCAGTAACTGTTACAAGTCTGCACTGGGAGCCAGGGAAGCCTCACACTGTTAGTTGTTGCAAGCAGGCCAGAGTTAACTGGGGGATCCTTTCTACGGGGAGTGCTGTTTCTGTGCTCGCCCACTGGAAGTTTGCAAAGAAATTGAGTAGTTCTGGCAGCCTGCTCTTTGGTACAGATCTTAGTCTTGTGAGAGTCTTGGCTGGGAGAAGAAGTATCAGGATTGACTGGTAGGAGAGAAGAACTAATGATGCTGAATTGGTGAGCAACTGCTCTGCTCTGGAGCAGCACCAGTGGGATAGGTTACTGCAGCTGCGTGGAATCGGAGGTGACAGACTGGGAGCTAGATCCAACCTGGTGGTGTTTGGCAGGCTGTGGGGTATGTGGGGGTACCGGGCAACTACTTTGTGAGGGACAGGGATAAGGCCTGTGGGTGGTAAGAGTGGGAGGACTGGGCTTCTGCTGTCCTTAGGCCATGTCAGTAGAGTTCCGTCTCCTGTGGTTAATGAAGTACAGAACAGAACCTAGTGAGAATTGCACTGCCCTTACATGCACGTTTCTGAAGGGAGATCAGCAGGATATCAGGCCTAAGCCCTGCGAGCCTTTTCTCCTGGATGTATTTACTGTTAAGATAGAAAGGTGTGATTTCAGCTTCTAATTCTGACTGGTGCTGCGTAGCATCAGTGAAATGGAATCTGTTGCTGCTTTGAGGACCATGAAAGAAGAACTGGTTATTCTGTTGTAGAGAACACTGCTTAACTGTCAGGGTCTGCACTTGAACCTTTGGAAACACAACCAGTTTTCTGACTGGCGTTGGCGCCGCATGAGGGTTTAATCATTGACAAACACCTATTTAAGGAAACAAAACATGCAGCTTTCTTTATTGGTGCAAATTACTTCTGCACTTTGCTGCATTCTCCTGCTGCTGCATACTGGAGCCCATGGGGCCGGGCTGTGGTGCTGTGGGACCCCCTCCTGCAGCTCCCCGTGCCCCCTCCCCACAGGCAGCGCCCGCAGCTGAGCCGGCCCCTGCGTGCCATGCTGCCTCTGACGTGTGTTCTGTCATGGTTCTTGGCACTGACCTGTCAGCACGTTGGTAATTACTCTGTGCTTTTCACCAGTAAACAACTGCACGGGGAAAATATCTTGAAAGCCGCTTCACAAATTGAAGCATGTTTAAATTTGCCTTTGCTCTCGCGCTTGTGAAAGTTAAATCCAATTTAGCAAATATCCAAGTGCAGGACTTCTGTTGACTAAATATTAACAAAATCTGGCCTTTGGAACTGCGGGCTGAGAGGCCGCTTTACCTGACTGCGCCTGAGCTGAGCAAGTGCCTGCGCCAGAGCTGTTTGTTGCCGCACATTCTCAAGATACGGCTGGTTGGAGGCTTACTGCTGAAATGGGTGTTTCAGGCCCTTTGAAAGACTCGAGATTTGCAAGTAAAAAGAGGAAATCTGTCTTCATGTCTCACTCTGTGATAATCAAAGGCAGTTGCTTGCTCTGTACAGTCTCGGCTGGGGACGTTCTTTCAAGTGTGGAGAATCTGTACGTCCTGTTTAAGTCAGCGATAACCGGGGGTGCTGAACACCTCCTAGATCAAACTCGTTCAGCTTTGGTACAGCTCTTGCCTAGTGACAGTGGCGAGCCTATTGCAGCCGGCTGGCAGCACAGCCTTACAGCTAGTTCTTCTAGGCTGGGTCTGAATCAGCAGCGTACAGCTGCGGCCATCTGCGGTGCTCTGTGTGGATGCTGCCCATCTGTACTGTTTTAAGAAAGAAAGAAAACCGCTGAAGGAATGAGGTGATGGGGGCAGGTAGTTAGGAGGGCTGAGCCTCCTGGTTCAGGGCCATGTTTGCGGGCCGCAGTCGGGGGCTGATTCCATATCAAGTATTTCGCCAGCATCTGTGAAAAAAGCTGTTTTTTCTTGTTCCTTGCAATAGAGATCCTTGTATGTTCTCCTTCTTTTAGGCCTACGTAGCACTAAATTCTAACCTTCAGGGTTTTTAAATATTCGTTATTGCTTATAACTTCTCTTGCCTACAGTACATAAAGAAACGATCGTTATCATATACTAATTACTGGCAGGGCTGCAAGTATTTCATCTTCACAAGAGAATTCTAAATTGGTGTATTTGTTTCTAAACTATATGTTACTAAATCAGAACTGTCAGACCTTTGTGTCTCTCAGGGGTAGTGCATGCGGCTGTATGTGTCTGACTTTGCAGTTCTCTATCTAGTATGAGAGGAAGTGCAATGTGGAGCCTTCTTTTCATTTTTTTGTGCGTGTTCTCATGAGATAAGTTACTGTCGTGTGCAAAATAACCACATATGAAAAGAATTTGTTAAGTCATTACGAGACTAGTCAGGCTTGATACCTTTTAGAGTATATGTTAGTCTTTCATTCGCAATGAGAGAAAGAATTAGACATTCACCTTCCTCGTATTTATGTGTGAGCTGTAATTTGCAGTTGCAGCTGATAGCTCAGAGATCAAACACGCTGTAGTTCTCTCCTTTCATGATTTGTCTTTTCCTTGAGGACTAATATCTGAGGGATATGCACATAAGTAATGGTGCAGAAACTCTCTTCTAACCTCCTTTACGAAGATCAGTTTTCTTTGGGTTTGCAATAAGCAATAAAAAGGGAAAGGAGGATTCTGTTCTCCAGGAACAGCTGTGTTATGAGAAAAAGGTGACTCTATGTGGGACAGAGCTCTTTGCTCATTGGATGGAAAATATCCACAGACTGAAATACGTAAGCAGAAAGCCTTGTTAGGGGACCTGGCAGATGGATGCTGCTT